GCTTGAGAAGAGTACCAATAAAATAACTTGTTACACAGAGATATACAGTGTCCTGTTATTTTACATCATATTCTTGGCAATATAGCTGCTAGACATTACAGTGTAAAAATTACAGGAAATATTTTTCAGTGTTGGTAAACTTTAAATTTTGGTTGAAAATTGCCTTCTACAACAACAAATTGTATTCGACCTGTTTGTATTTTCATCTAAAATCTAAAAATTGTTCTGAGACTATCGATACTGTTTTCAGCTGATATTATAATTCACATTAAAATAATCAGTAAAATTCAACAAACCAACAAACTTGTTAAGACACTAAACAATATACAGACTAGAGCGGCACTTCTCAATATATTAAACACAAACTTATAACGAGATTTCAGGTTAGGGTGAGTTATGTAATCAACTCAAGTCTGCTCAAGTTATATAGACTGTCTTATAGAGATATTATGACGCTATCAAACTATAAAAACATGTTAAAAATATACCCCATTCAATCTTATTCAGAAATAATACAATTATTATACAGAAATTGAAAAAAACAAGTCAACAAAAGAAATTGTATGACTAAATCTATAATTCAATACTGGGTACAATACACTCCTGGTTATAGTCAACATTAGAAATTGTATGATCTATAATTCAATACTGATCATAATAGATCTATTTGAAATGGGTACAATACACTCCTGGTTATAGTCAACATTAACTGTTTGTTAAACAAGTGGTCACCATGAGGCAACAGTAAGGTTTAATTTAGCCTACTATACAGTAATTTATTCTGCCAATTTAATCACAAGGGCAACATAATTCATTTATAGAAAAATAGAAAAAGGAAATCATACAAGACCTCATCAACATATCAAGTGATGGTCGCAGTCCGGTGTGTCAGGGCTATAAGCCTACTATTTTATATTGAAATCTGATCAAAAATGTAGTGTATGCAGTTTACAGGCTAATTCTAACTTAGTCCGAAACATCTCACTCTAGTCAAGCCTCTGATAGACCTTTTGACAGTTTTCGGCTGGCGTAGGGACTTAACTTGGCCAATACCAAATACGCCCCAGATATCACCAGCATGCTGAGAGACATATAGACGGCTGGAAGGAAGTGGTGATAATAAAATACGTGAATATTAAAATTAAGGTGTATAACAACATATTAGAAAGAATCCTAAAAATTATTGTTAAATATTTTGATAGCCTAATATAATTGTAATATTAATTTGACTTCTGTATAGTATTATTATTATCAACCAATACTGTTAGTGAACACGGCAAACGCTAGAGTAAAGCCTTACTGCTTTCTTGGAAAGGTCAGGGGTGACTATAATATACTTCATATTATGCTGTGTATGTATCAAACATTTTAGTAAGCAATTTTATTTTTGTACACCATGACTATTATTCAAAATGTTAATAACAAACCATTTATTTTCTCTGGGCTCTCATGATAGGTGACAATATGGAAAAATTGTAAGCCAAGTCTATGTGAACGGACAGACATTTGGGGGTCAGGGGTGAATATAAAATAAATCAAAACATAGTAATCAATATGTGCAAGCCCTGTTCAACATGTTAATAGTTTAATATGATTTTAATATGATTTAAAATTCTGTATTACTATTTATAACAAACCAATTCTTTTAGTTGGGTTTTGTTGTTCTCGTGGCAAGTAATACGAATAATGAATAGCAAACTTTTCAATAAAAGTAATGTAAATATCTTTGAAAAGTTTTAATTGTATTCTAACTCGAAAAATCTATAGGTCGTGAGAGACACCAATAATCGTCTGATTAACATGGTTAAACTTGTCTCTATTATTAACTTAATTGAATTAAAGGGAAAGATTCGTCATTTTCCTGAGTCAGAAACGACAATCAGCTGTAGTATTCACGTCTTCCCTTCGACATTTGAGCCTTCTTAGCCATGCGTATCCATAATTATCCGAAATTGAAAGTTAAAAAAAACGACTAGTGTTTTCCAAGAGTTTCCATTTTGTATAACATCTGATAAATGACGTCACATGTATACTGTAGATTCAATCTTCCTGCCCTCCTTCGTCTACTCACATCTGTAACGGGAAATGTCTTGGTGTCAGGGACTATATCAACAAGACGTTCAACTTTCGGATACCCCAATTTTCGGAGAGAAGATAAGCTTGTGAACGAAATAAATAAAAAAAAGGGATATCTTGTTTGAAGTCTATTTGAAGGACTCATGCGATTTCCCTACAGTTCTAGTACTTCTGAAGATTATTGACAATCATTGAAAACGGCAAATCTGTCCCTTTAAAGTTCTTCTTTATCAATGGAATCAGACTACAAGACAATAGAAAATAGTAAAAGAAATTCCAGGGACTAATAGAATCTACAGTATTATTGATGAATTGGTTATAATTTAGTAAGAGCGGATGCCAAACAATTTTGAATTTCAATACATACTAGAAATCTGGTACTGATTGTTCAACATTGTTCTTAAATATCAGACGGAAACAATTCTTTCTAAACTGGACGAGACCAATATCTGGTACTTTCTTATTGTTCTTGAATTTTCACAATGGTTGGACAAAGAAGCAAACGTAAAATCTTGTTTTGAATTTCGTCGAAACTATTCAGCATTTACTTTCCTATCTTGTGGCAAAGAGGTTTTCAAGATTAATGAAACGTTTACCTTGATTGAACACTCACACAATATAGAAATATATTTATGATCGTCATTGTAGTACATTGTAGAAGTTAGTTTAAAAAATATATATTAAAATCGTTAACGCTTTTGTTCTTATATCGACAAAAGAAGATCTTCAGAGATAATTCATCATTCTAGTCAATGGGTAGCTGTAAACAACGTTTCTTTCTATGATCTTAACTACAATATAGAAATCTGATAATTGTAAGCAACGTTTCGTTCAGTGATTCTTGTTAAACTAACAGACTTTTGAAAAGAACTGAAGAAATGAGCCTAGGAAACTGTCAGTCTTCGTTCGGCAATCTTAATGATACTCAGTGAGCTAATAGTGAGTTTATAGTGACTTTATAGTGAGCTTTGAAAAATATCATCTTCATTACACTAGATAAATTCAGATTTGGAAATAAACATAAAACTGTCAGTCTCGTGGTTAACACAAAGATCACCCTGAGTGTTTTCATCTTTATTTTCAACCGAGACGAAGAGTATTGGAAAATTTAGGGTCAGTTACGATCTGAATGCTGTGATTATATGGAACTGTTTGTTGACAATAAATAACATAATGAAAATTTGGAACATTCTAGTTACAATAATCTTTCTAGTATACGACACATATTGGACAAACGGTGTCATCTTAACATACAACGAGAAAACAACATTCACCCATTACGAGAGCGTGGAGCTACAAAACTCCAAAGTATTTTGGGTGAAAGGTCTAAAAGATGGTATTTTGGGATTGTTTGAAACGAGTGATTCCCCTGAACCGCTGTACGAGTTTCTAATTGGTGGTGGAAACAATAAGTATACGGGTATTAGAAATGAGACCAAAGGTCACGTTCGGAGATTATCAAGAAAGGAAGATATACTATTGGATAACACCAGATTTAAACCTTTCTGGTTGAGTTGGGATGAGAATTTCGTTCAGATGGGATCAGGACTCACGGTTGGTTCGGGTATAAAACTATCGTTACCTAGACAACACACCATTCCACTCAATTTTCTAGCTCTGAGACCGGATTATGGACTACCTATATCGTTTATATTGGAACTGGAATGTTCCAAAATTCCTATAACAGATTTACCATAAACTTTAATCTGAGATAGTCGCCATGTCGTGACTTCTCTTCGTTTCGGATTTAAAATTCTGTTCTTTTTGTAACTTTGTAACCAAACTTCTTTGACAAGGAAAATAAAATGAGACAATCGTTATTAATTTTTAACTGTAAATCTATTTTTGTTTTTGAAAGTCCTAATCGTTGTCACAGTCACTGGTTATTTCATCAGTAAAAAGTTTCCATGTCAATTTGGTTTCTTCTCTTTATGTT